TTCTCATAGAAAGTCCAAGGTGGGAAATGGCCACTAAAAAATCCCATTTGCAAAGTACCAATCTGACCCACCTAAGGGCCATTGTGGAGTCAGCAGAGAACCTGGAAGTTGTTAGTGCCCTGCATGTATCCGGCTACATGGATACCTTGGGAGAAAAGCAGACCCTTGTGGTAGATGTCATTGCAAATGGTGGTCACACTTGGGTGAAGGCCATTGGCAGAAAGGCAGCATAAGATGTGGAATCAGAAACAAAACAAAATTATTGATTATTAAAAATGGGGCCAAATATTAAAGGCAGAACCTCTCTGTAGAGAGAAACTCCAGGCCTTTTCCATCCTTGCTAAAGAGCAAAAGAACATCTCTCCCTCACTCAAATTTACCAAGATGGCAGCTTTACAGTTTACCACAAACTTTGCTGAAGGCGACAGACAACCTTGAGGCTGTACTGAGCTGCTGTACTGAGTTGCTGTATTAGTCAAGAGCTTATAATAAAAATCATTTCTGTAAAATAGACTACCCCTACCCAAGGATATGTTTTGACTTTTGTAATCAAGTATGGATAGTACTGATAGTATGAGACATGCTAACCAAGTCAAGACTTGTGTGTTTTTTCCTTTAAAAGACCCTCATGGAAAAGAAGATCTCACTATATCCTACTACTCAAATAGTGGGTGGGGTGTGGTTGCTGTGTGGCTAATAAAAAGACTCCTTGCCCTGTTTAACTGAGTTGGTGGCCTTAATTTCAGATTTGGGACTCTTCAGGCAGAAGGGCTGCATCACATCTGGCTGGGCCAAGGCCAGTATAGTGACAAAAGCATCATTGAGCAGGCTGAAGACTTCCTCCAGGCCAATCACCAGCAACCAGTACAGTATAGCAACCCTCACATCACCTTTGCATTCTACAAAAGAGTCTCCAGCCCATGGTAGCGAAGCTGGAAGAAATGGGCATATCTGTGAGGGGTGACATTGTAGCTGTGAGCTCCCTATTAGATCACCCTCAGGAGCTCCAGCTGAGTGAAAGTGAGTCTGAGGATGAAGGCCCAGAATTTTTACAGGTGACCAGAGCTGACTGTGCTTGCAAGTGTTGCGTTTCTCACTGAGATTAAAGTTGATGTGTGTCGAAGAGTGAATCCGGACATTACTACTCTAATCACTTACATATCTGCCCTCAGTTTTGGAGGCTGACAGTTTATCTTCAAAGAAAAAGTGCTCACAGAACAAGCAGAGCAGTAGAGGAAAGAGCAGGTTCTACCTCAGCTAGAGGCCTTTACGAAGAACAAGTAGTTGCTTGCCTGAATCTGCTGTCAACGATTTTCAGTTGGTTCTAGATACCTTAGGAGGATGGGGAGGGGGAGGGGGAGAGGGCCACTATGCTAATTAAGCAAATCAGTGTGGTGCCAGACCAGCCTTCTGAGCCTGCCTTGAGACTAGTAACAACTTTGGGGATGGGAGACACCCTGAAAGTCATCACCATGACTACAAGTAGTGGTTTTGTCTGAGCTGCAAACAGCCAGGGTGTCAAGTTTAGTGTGGTTATCCATTGGCCCAGAGTACTCACTGAGAGTGAACAGGCTGCAGCACCCTTTACTGAAAGGTTACACAAATGACTGAACACTAAAAATTGTCAAAGAAATAACATTTATATAAAAGGCTAGCCTTCCCTTCTTCATTGAGGGGAATAAATGAGGTTTACAGTAAAAAATGATACTTAGAACTAGTAGAATATTTTTTGTGTCATCTATATTTGAAGTAAATAATCTCAAAGTAGAAAAAGCACAAGAGATAACTTTATCAAGCTTCATTGCCATTAGAAACAGAATACACCATCAAGACTTGTGATAGGTTAGTTTGATTCAATAGGGTTGTAGAAACCCCTGTAGCTAATCACAATTCATGGAATCTGGCTACACTGTGCTGTCTCAGGTTCATTAATGTATGGAGAAAACTACAACCTGGTTTTTCACTGTATTGGTTTTATCAGTTGGTGTGGGTTGAGATTGGGAGACAAAAGTTGACCACTTTAGATTCTAAAGGCAATACTCATTATGAATGCAAAGACATGTTCTTAATTGCTATGTGGCAGGCACAGTCTGGTGGGTATATATACAATGAGTTCATGATACAGAGAAACGAAAATTCTGGCTATGATGATGAATACTGTAAATCTGTTGATGTATAATACCTTTGTGAAAAGGAAAGTCTTACATTGTACTTGAATTAAAATATCAATTTGAAAAAATTAGTAAAGAATTAAAAAAATAACTCTAGGTTGTAACTGAAAATCATGTTTTAAGTCCCAGTACAGATAAACATGAAGTTATCAGAAATGGTATAAATGCATAGTTCTTTTTTCTAACTGATTAAAACTGACTTTTTGGATTTATTAACTCTTTTTAAAAAATATTTTTGTTATCTTTAAGTAGTTGTCATGCAACAAAGCTGTTTATGCGCACAATGTGTCTTGGTCAAGGTCAGCCCTTTGAATATTCTCACCCATTTCTTCCAACCCGCCCTTCCCTCACGTTTCTTCATTTTGTAGATATGCAGTGAACTTTTCACTGCCTTCACCCACTTCTTCCCGTCATTGTCTAAAACCATCTCCATCCTTTTCAAGCACTCATTTCCTAGTGTTTATTTTGCTGACCTTTCGTTTAGCCTTTCTAAGGAATTACACTGTGTCCTCCCCAAAATCTACCTTAATACATTTGTGTAGGCTTGCAAACTAGCCAAAATAGTTATGAATATATGTCGAAGCTTATTCTGGCTTCTATGTAAGAGAGAAAACATGTAACTTTTGTCTCTCAGGGCCTAACAGTTCACTTAACATAACACTTCTATATAATTGTGTCTTGGGCCTGTAACACAGAGATCAGAGGGGCCAGGAACAGGACTGAGTTGCAGAAAGAAAATGACTGACATCAGATGATTTGTCTCCAGGGACAACAAAATAGAACCAAAAATACTGAAAAATAAGGCTGATAGAATAGGTATTTACATCCTAATGATATGATATAATAAGCATTTACTCTCAATTTCTTCACTGATTCTCTTTAAAGGACATAAACTATATAATACATTATTTTAACATAGAATAATATACTATATACTGTATAGTTTTATATTTTATAATATATTTTATTATATATGTATTGCATATTTATATATCTTATACATTTTATACTTTACATATGTATTATATATTATATGTATTTTATACTTATATTATTATACACTAAATATTATATATTTTGACTATAATGATAATAGTTGGCTTATAACATATATATGTTATGTCATAGCAACACCACTAGAAAGGAGGAAAAAGAACAGAACTTCATCAAAAATACACTTTTTAATCTTACCAAATCAATGTTGGTTTTATTTTGATAACTTAAAAAATGTTGTATGAGCTGGGAAGGTGGCTCAGTGGTAGAGTGCTTGCCTTGCATGCATGAGGCCTTGGGTTCGATTCCTCAGTACCACATAAGCAAAAAGAAAAAAGCCAGAAGTGGCGCTGTGGCTCAAGTGGTAGAGCGCTAGCCTTGAGCTGAAGAGCTGAGGGACAGCGCCCAGGCCCAGAGTTCAGGCCCCACGACCGGACCCAAAAAAAAAAATGTTGTAAACTATAGAGCAACCACTAAAAAAAGACTCAAAAACAAAGCAAAGATATTATTAAAGGTTTCTTAAAATTCATCTTACCAAATATTCGCCTAATTTAAAGGCAGAAACAATCAGGACATATTTAAAAAGTCCAAATCTATACTGACTGTAAGAGGCGCGATTTAGATTCAAAGAAGCATACAGACGGATAAAAGCACTTAAGTCTCTCAGCACTTTTAAAATAAGTGCTATCTGACACAACAATCAAACCATATCCCTGGGTTTAAATAGAGCCAGAGGATGTGCAAAGAGGGGTCAGGTCATGCATAATGGAAGCATAGCAAGCTAACCTGTGTGAAGCAAATTCTCACCTAGGAAAGGAATACACAAGAGCAGAGGCTGCTGGGATACATGGGAACAGAGGCTGCTGGGAACACACTTTCCAACAAGGCAATGTTTCTGAAGGCACTAATTCTGCCTCACACAGTGCAGAGATGTAGCCAAATGAGCAGAAATAAAAGTCTGTTTTTATACTGCATATTTATGTAGCAATTAATTGCAGAGAAGGAAGGAGGGAGGGAAGGAGGGAAGGAAGGAAGGAAGGAAGGAAGGAAGGAAGGGAAGGAGGGAGGGAGGGAGGGAGGGCAGGCAGGCAGGCAGGCAGGCAGGCTTCACAAAAACATTTTCTTCTAATGAAGTCATGAAAGTTAAAACTAGGACAACAGTAAATTCATAGCTGTACAGGGAATTGACTGAAATTTGAGAAGAAAATGATTTTAGCATAAACAGATTTGATTTACCAACTGCTTAGTAGTAAAGCAACAGAGGAAAAGTTAGCAGATAAATGAGAAGGCTGAGTCCTGCCTGGCAGACCTCTGCCAACAGGTACACCCTGATCAGAAACCTACAGTCCACTTTGTAACAATCATAATCATCAGAAGAATTACCAACAGAAATAACATGATATTAATCTTCAATTCGAGCATTTGAACATCAAATGTTCCGGAACAGCAATTTGCCACAGATGATGAAGGGTTGTAGTAAGCTTGTTCAGGCCAGTGACCAGCTCCAACTTGTCTAAGAGCCCAGGGAGGAAAGTTCAAGATGATGGGGTGCATTTGTTATATGAATGTATGCTAAATGGAAACAGATACAATTGTGAATGAAACGAAACAAACATAAATAAGGCTCTGGCTTCAATCTTATGTGTAAAAGAGAGAGGAAGAGGACTAAGGAGGAGGAAGACGGGGAGCAGAAGAAAGGAGCAAGAGGAAAGGATGAGGAGTGGGAAGGGAAGGAAAGGACAAGAGGGAGGGGAACAGGAGCAGAGACAAGTGAAGGGAACGAACTAGGAGGCTCTTAGTCTTTGTGTGTTAAGTTTCTGTATTTAGTCTACTTACCTCAACTCCTATTTCGAATCCCCCACCAAGCCCAGCTATTGCAATGGCTGAAGGTGCAGACCATTCTAAGAAAACAAACGAGCAAAACTTATTGTAGTGTTTAACCTTCCCAACATATAAATATAGGAAGAAAAATATTTCTTTTTAAAATGATGACTCACATGCTTTTCCTATATATTAAAATTATTTATAATCTTTTAAAAGCTGAGATATTTGGCAGATATTAGATATTCAGCACTCATGACTCAGACTCAGATACCCATGGTTCTCTAAGCCTTCCCTAACAACATGCATAATACCAGACCATTAGTTTCCCGGCCACTAAACATTTGAAAATTTTAATTACTAAAACCTTATTTCCATTTTCTGGAGTCCAGTTTTATATTTTTTATAATTTAGCTGCAGTCCTAGTCTTTGGTTATAATTTATCAGACTTAAGAGATCAGGATTTAAGAGTTTGTTATAATCATTCCTATGGGTAACATGATACTGAATTGTGCAGCTGTAATATTCTCATGTCAAAAACTGTTTGGCTCCCTTTGTGCCTAGTAGAACAAGAGCTAGGCTATAAATTCAAGATCATAAAATTCTAAGATAAACTGCTTTACATTTGGAAACTAAGCACAATTCCATTTGTTATGACATAGTACATTTTAGGACTGCTGTGTACTTAGTTTTCCTGATATAGAAACCATTATGTAAAACAAGACTAAAAGAAGTATTTTTAATTTGGTGGGGGAGGGCAGACGAGTCTAATAATGCCTATTCTAGCCTAGCCTAGCCTATCCTATCCTAATAATGCCTTTCTTCTTCACTCCTCCTCTTTCCTTTCCTTGCTGGTGCATACGAATCCATGCTAGAAGGCAACTGTTGCTTGACACATGAAGAACTGAACTGCTTGGAGGAGCTGTGATTACAGAAATCAGTGTCTGATAATCCTGAGGTTAGTTTTCATTTCCTAGGTTGGGAATGGCCTGGCTTATGATCTCTCCTCTGGGATTAGGAATTTGTCTTGCTTATTTGTACAGCTTTTAAGTTACTTAGAAGAGTGTACAGGAGGATGAGGGAAATCGTTTTTGAAAAAAATTGAAAAGTATAAGTAGGTTATCCTTTCTGCAATAGTCTCCTGTGAGAGAGACTGAAGGGCCCAGACTTCAGGGCCTCCCTGCAGAGACCAGTCCCCTCTGACAAGGAGCCCTGCTCTCCCTGAAGGGGCCTCTGGCACCTTGGTTTTATTGCTGAGATGTTTTTTCATGAACATTTGGTCAATGCTTAATAAAACAAAAAGCATCATCTTTTACAACTCTTTAAAGAGCTGACTTTCTATGTGTAAACTTTTTATTTTAAAACTTGTATATTTTTAAACTTATGATAAATAACTGGTTTAATTCACTGAGCCGTTTTGAGTCTACAGAGGGAAGATATTTGGTGAATATGATATAGGGGATACAATGTGCCACAATGTTGAGCCATGAAATTAGGGTTGCAATGCCAGTAGAAATTCCCATCTGCTACAGAAACACAGGGGCAGCAAACACCAAATCCAACCAATTCATAGTTGAGGAATATGTACTTAACAACATCTGTATTTATTGTCTACAGTATATTTATGATGAAAAAGCAATAATGAACAATATTTTTCCTTGTATGATAGAACAGCAAATGCCAAATTATATAGGGCGTTTTTATTATAATACCTACATAAGTTTCAAATATTAATATAAACATCATTTATAGTTATATTCATGGCAAGTATATTTTGATATCAATTTTTAAAAGGTAAATAATAGGGGCTGGGAAGGTGGCTCAGTGGTAGAGCGCTTGCCTTGCATGCATGAGGCCCTGGGTTCGATTCCTCAGTACCACATAAGCAGAAGAAAAAAAAAGCTGGAAGTAGTGCTATGGCTGAAGTGGAAGAGTGCTAGCCTTGAGCTGAAGAGCTGAGGGACAGCGTCCAGGCCCAGAGTTCAGGCCCCAAAAATACAAATAAAAAAAATAAATAAAAGGTAAATAATAGATTTTATCTCAGAAAATAACACCAAATTATACTACTCTGTATATGATTCTAACAGGGGATGGAGTGGGAAGACTACTTACTTGACGTTACCTGTCACACTCCCTATGGGAAGAACCACAAAGAAAGCAGAACAGAGAAAAAGTACAGTATCTACAAATGCCAACTTACTTCCATCTGGAAGGCGTGCCAGGACAATCCCACTGCCTCCCCTAGCTGTCACCAGAAATCCAGCTTTGATCACAGACAGGACCGCAAGGCCTTTTGCCTTTGCAATCACATGGGCTGTAGACAAACAACGAATAATGATCAAAAGGTAGCTTGTAGCAGAGCGTTGATCTTAAAACACTGCGCCTACATTTACCTCTTATTAAAATGAAATGTTAGGTTCAACAACAAAAATTAAATTTTTTTGCCACTTTACAAATTTTTAGACGGGTGCTGGTGGCTCACACCTGTCATCCTAGCTACTCAGGAGGCTGACATCTGAGAATCGCAGTTCAAAGCCAGCCCCAGCAAGAAAGTCTGAACTCTTATCTCCAATAAACCACTGTGGCTCAAGTAGTAGAGCTGAAGAGCTGAGGGACAGCACCCAGGCCGTGTTCAAGCTCCATGACCGATCAAAAAAAAAAAAAACCCTTTTAATTTCATAAAATGATTTTATATAGTATTCAAGTACTTGAATTTAGTATTATAAAAATATCAATTTACTAGCACACCACTAGTATACTAAAGAGATTAATTTACGAAATACTAGTCAATGCACATTTCGGAGTTCATTATCTAAGATGAGGTTACTAAATTACATATGCAATAAGGCAGAAGGTCCTCATTCTGTGAATTTTACTCAATAGCACATCCTTCAAACAAAGAAACTAAATATCACTAAATGATAGTTCAGTTTATAATATTATTTGTCAAATATTCTGTCGAAACAATGAAAGCAAATACTACACTGGAACACAAAATGTTTTGTAGATGTCCCTGGAAAATGTGAAGTTTTTAATATAATTATGCCATTTCAAAACTTATATTAGTAACAGACCCTTGGAAATTATGCATCACAAAACACTACACAAGGCCAACAAGCAGAAGAGTAGTAGAGCTATATAAAATAGATTGAAATCTATAATTCATATTAAATGTTTACTTTTATAGACATGTCTTGACTGTATGTCTTGTATATCGCATCTTCTGGCTTCAATGCTTCTACAGTTATTGCCTTTATTTAGAAATATCAACAGTATTTAAATGGACATTCTCTACATGCCAACTATATTTTTATAGATTATCCAAATTCAGAGAGAGTAAAATACCAGTACAGGTAATCCCTAAATAATTTTCTGATTAGCTTTTTCACCTAAAATATAGGATGCACTGATGGCAAGATTACTTTCTAAATTAAGCTTTCTAAATTAAGCTTTCCCAGAGCCTATAACATTAGGTGAAGACAAATTTATACCACTGAGGTTAAAAAGCAGTACTCAACCACAAGTCTGTGTATATCAAACCCTTTCCATCTCTTGCTGCAGAAGACTATTCCTGACAACTCAGGTTTTTCACTTGAAGTTTCTTTAAGCTTAAAAGCGGTGCTTCTGAAATGGTAACACACATGAAGCCCATTGGGCACCTGGTAGGAAGAGCAGATTTGTGAGGCCTGAGCAGGTATACCACCAGCTCACAGGCAATGCCCAGTAGCTGAGTGAGTCTGCGTCGAAGTGGAATAGTGAAGCTTTCTTAGGATGAGGGAACTTGCTGGGCCACTGTAACCATAAATAACATTACTATTAATACTGATATAGTGACAAAACACTAAAACTAACCCACAACTCAATAACTTCAGAAGGTCTGGCTCAAGAGAACTGAACTGGTTTCCTTAATTCAGGATAGAGACAGGCACTGTGATAAAGTAAGAGAATTAGTCTGCAGCATTGCCAAAACTAACTGCATATGAATCCTCATGAGGCAAGTATATCATGAATCACCTTTGGAAATACTTGTACATTGGATGGGTTCTCAACGGCTCACCTTTGAGTCAGATTACATGTGATCAGTCTGATCACCTGTTGAATGAAGAGCATGTTAGACCAAGAAGCCTTAATCCACTGCTCTAATTCAGGGCCTATATCTTAATTACTAGGGTGATACAGAGACACAGCTGTTCTAGGAATCATTGGTCAATGTCTTTTTAAACCAATATTCAGTCTAAATATGCTAGGTAGAAGGAAAAATAGTAAGACTAAAATTTACTTGTGAGACTGGCTTGTAAGTTTGCAAGGTCTAGCTGCATTGTCCTTAGAATGTGATGAAAAGAACAGGAGAATTTTAGGAAAGCTGGAGTGGAGTAGAGACTTGGGGACTTAGGGTTCTGGCACCTCTGAGTATAGGCAGGAGGCAGAGGAAGGGAAGAGGCCCCCAATTCCTTGGCTGTGATCTGCTGCCAGCTCTGTTGAGAAGACTACCCAAGAAGCACATCCTAGGCTTAGTTCTGAGATAAAAAGATTATCTAAATACCAGCTATTGCCAATGGAAGAAGCTTCCTGACAAAGCTAAGGAATGCAAAAGCAATTTAGAAAACAAATTTAGAAATTTACCTACCAGGAATGATCTTATCTGGACCATTTCTGGAAGTTATTTCTGTGAATTCTCTTAATATTTTCGCAGCCTTCTTTGCTTCTGATTTTAGGTTTGAAGGTATAGGGTTATTCACTGAAAGAATTAAAAATATATATTAATTAAAATCGACTATATAGATGTTAGGATTTATTGCAGCTTCATTATTATCATACATATTGTGTCACATGCTCTACACAAAGATGACTTGTAAGTCCTCAAATTATTAACTTCACCTTGCTTTTCTTAAAACATTGAATCCACTTGTAGGAAAACCCTAAACTCAGAATCTCAGAGATTATAAAATGAAGGGATCCTAAGGATTTTAGACAAAACCTGTCCCCACTCCCCAATGTCTTCTCTCCATAAAATTAACTCACTTTAGTGAAGAGTAATATTGTCTATATAACAGACAATCTACAATTTGTCTATTCTCATCAGAAATGTTTGAAGTAGCTGTTTATATACTGTCTAAAAGTGCAATTCTGAGATACTCGGGGATTGAGTCACTATATCCAGCAATGCATGCCTGTCTCCGTATAGCATTTTACATTTCCAGTGTTGTCTGAACTTCCCCCCCCCCCCCGGCCTTTTTAAATAAGAAGTTGTAATTATAAAGGTGATGTCGAGAGGGGTTACAAGGCAGGCAGAGTACATTTCTTTTGGACAATGTCCCCTCCTGTTTCTTTGCTGTTCTCAAGCATGTTGGGAAAGTTGATTCATTCTCTTGCCACTGAATGAGGGATCAAAAAAATAAACAAAAAACAAGCGATTCTAGCAGTTCTCATGTAAGGCCAGACAGTAAATGAGTTCATTTTTGTAGTTTATGCAAGAAAAATAAAATGTGTGGTATGTGTGTATTCCCTTAGTCCTTTGGCATTATAACTATAGTTTTGTCTTGGCATTCTGAATGTTTTACTCTATAGTATTTCAGAATGGTTAAATATTGGCTCTTTATGTAGCCTTCACAATGTAACTTACAAAAATGAAATTCAAAGGACATTTCCATTCTCACCAACTGCTCTTCCCTGCCACCACTGCAGTCAGCTGTGCTGGAGGTAGATACCATTTGATCTGTCACTGATGTTAGTTTATTTTCATATAAATGTGTATCGTTTTCTAATTTCATAAAGCATAAGATTAATGGGAGTGTTTTGTTTTGTTTTTTTCTTTTATTTCAGGGTATCTTCTCATGTGTGGGACCACCATAATTTGTTCTTCATGTTTTGAAAGACAAATCTGTTGCTTCCAGTTTGGGAGCTACTCCAAATAAAACTGGCATAAATATTCCCATAAAAATCTTCTGTGGGGGCTGGGAAGGTGGCTCAGTGGTAGAGCACTTGCTTTGCAGGATAAGGCCCTGGGTTCAATTCCTCAGCACCACATAAGCAAAAAGAAAAAAGCCGGAAGTGGCACTGTGACTCAAGTGGTAGAGCACTAGCCTTGAGCTGCAGAGCTGAGGGACAGTGCCCAGGCCCAGAGTTCAGGCCCCACGACCCGATCCCCCCCCCCCCCAAAAAAAATCTTCTGTGCATAAATGTTTACTTTCTCTTGAATAAATATTTAAGGTAGGAAATGCTAGTTCAGAATGTTAAGTGCATGTTTAATTATGTAAGAAGCTGCCAGGACATTATCTGAAGCGAACACTTTAGTTTCAGCCACAATTCCTAAATGGCCCTGTTACTTCACATCTCACCAACACTTGTTACGAATGATGTTTTCAATGTTACTTTAGTGGTGTTTCAGCACAGATTTACTTTTCGATTCCCATATAAGTAGCACTGTTGAAATTTTTCTTATGTGTATTTCTGGTTTTTTTTTTTATGGCATATGTTCAAGTCTTTTGCTCATTTAAAAAAAAAATCAGAAATCAGGGTTTTTAGGGTTCCGGGAAGATGGCAGATGTGAAGCTGGAGGCTAAACAAGTTCTCGCATAGAAAGCAGTTTTAGTGTTCCAGTGAACAGTCCTAACCCAGAGAATCACACCAAGTGTGCCATCACAGCACAGAGAGTTAGGCCAGAGAGGGAAAATCCAGGCAAGGAGACAGATCTGAGCACTTGCCAGCAGCTGCAGCTGAGGCGGTGGTGGCCGTAGCCACCATACCTGCAACACAGAGAGTCCGGGACAAAGGCGCCAGATGTGGCGGGTGAGCGAATTCTAAACACCAGCAAGAACTGACAAGGAGCAGACATCTTCATCCTGCAGTTCGCAGACCAGAGACGACCCAGGAACCAAGACTCCAGTGTGAGTAGAAGCCTGACATCCTTACTCCTTCTCAGGGAGCAAAGGAGGGAAGGCCACCCCTCCCCTCCCACTACTGGAGATTTCCATCTTTGATACTAACAAAGGCCTGGCTGAGCAGCTAGCTCCAACTCTGGCCTTGGAAGAAAACTAGAATCATTTAGCAGGTCACAGGAACCTAACCTGACCTGCCAGGCTCAGCTCCACCCAGGGAAAGTCACCCAGCCCGGGCTGCCAGCCCCAGGAGTGGCTTTCTTCACTGGGTAAACAGAGACAGAGGCTGCCCCTCTCTACAGCAGCCCAGACAATCAATTGAAATTCAGTAAACAGAAACCCTGAGAATGGCTCCAGGCTGAGCTCATGAGTGTATCAGAAGCTAGCCCCCTGGGAAAAGCTACTGTTTGTTGAAAGGCCCCAACTCTACCCAGAACTTAGCCTCATCACAGCATCTTCAAAATAGAGGAAACAGCCATCTCCCTCTTTTGTGATACTCAAAGCAGATCTCCCTCCCATTGAACTAGCCTGGGAGGAGGATCACAAAATCTGGGTAACCCAGAGCATTTTTCTGCCTGCTCAAACAAACTGACTTAAGAAACCAACCAATCCACAGGAAAATCAAACGCCACAAGCAGACCAGAGTCCAACAAGAGACTGGTTATGGACACAAGGGAGATACAGGATCTTCCCATCCCCACTCCCCCAAAAATCAAAGAACTCTTTTTTTGTGCCTTTTATAAAAAAATTTTTTTCTAAAACTTCCTTTTGATCCTTTTTTCTTTCTTTCTCATTCTTTTCACTTTTTCTTCCCCTCTTTTGTTCTTCTTTATATGACTTAATCGCTGTTCTGCTCATCCTCAGATATACCCATAGTTGATTATTAGACCTTATCCCCCATTGTGTACACACTTAATCCAGAAATTTATTACTCAATTCAAAACCTCTTAGACTTAAATTCCTTAATAGTAGTATTACCTCTTTGTACCTATATAATATTTTAAGCATTTTTATTTTTAAGTTTTTCACCTCTCCTTTATATCCCTTCCCTTCTCTCATTCTATCCATGTTCTTCTCTGAATATTTTGTTATTAATTTGCATAATTTTTAAGTGTTGCTCATTTTAATTTTTAATTTTTGATTTTCTATTTTTTCTTGCCTCTTTTTTTCTTTCTCTTTTTTTCTCTCTCTCTACTATCATTCTATCCAACCTATTTCCTGTTTTGAGATTAGGACTTAGTTAACTCTCTCTCTGCCTTTCCACATCCCTCTATTCCTATTTTTACCCACATCTCTCCCTAAACCTAATAATTTCTGGTTTGCCAAATTCTTCTTTGCGGTTCGTAGCCTATTAATACATAGTTGTTTGATGTTGAATAGATATATCTGTTGAACTAGTTGATTTGAATAGATATATCTGTTGAACTAGATTGTATCTGCAGACTTTTGACTGTGCAACTACAGACTTTGGTTGATGCTTGCCTTAAGATAGTGTTCTAGGACAAAACTGGTGTTACTTTCATCCCAAATGGGCATAGCAAGCTGGAAAAACACAAGAAAAATGGCAAGTCTGGGTATCTCAAATCTCACTCATGATAATCAGGGGACAGAACAGATAATGAATAATCCAGAGGAGAGTTCCCAAAAAGCTCTACAAACACTACTGGTAAACATGGTAAATGAAAAGATTGAAAACCTGCAAAGGACTCTGTATGAGCATGATAGGGAGAGAGAGGAGGCAAACCAAAGGTCAATACAGGAATGAGCGTGAGGAAGCTACTCAAAAATTGATACAGGAATTGTGTGAGTAGCTTGAGAACACTCAAAGAGAAATAAAGGAATGACGTAAGCAGGCTGAGATCAGTCAAAGAGAAAGTCAGGAATGGCTTGAGCAAGCTGAGAACACTCAAAGAGAACTACAGGAATTGCGTGAACGTGAGGAAGCTAATCAAAGAGTAATACAGGAATTGAGAGAGCAGGATGAGAAAACACAAAGATCACTAAAGGCATTCATGGAATCCATAAACAGAGAGCTGAAAGAAGTCAGAGAGACCACAAAGGGAATGCAGAATGGAACCCAACAGAAGTAATGGGAGTCCAAGGAAACCATAACCAATCAACTAAGTGATTTGAGAATAAAAACTGAACACCAAATTAAGGAAGTAAAGAAGTTCATACAAGATCTTAAACAAAGCTCCAACAAAGAATCTGAAGCCATCAAAGCTGACCAACTAGAAGGAAAAGAAATAAAAAACAAAGTAGAAAGTCTTGATAGTAGGTTAGACCATGTAGAAGATGGAATCTGGGGGATTGAAGACAGCCTAGATATTATAGAGAAAGAACATACAACCATCCAAGACAAATCCAAGAAATATGATAGCTCTATTCAACACTTGGAAGACACCATCAGAAGGCCTAATCTGAGGATAATGGGTGTAGAGGAGCACCTAGAGAGAGAAGTTAATGGTCTAGGAAATTTGTTTAACAGGATCCTAGCAGAGAACTTCCCAAACATGCAAAAAGATAGGCCTATTCAGATACAAGAAGTTTTTAGAACTCCATTTAAATAGACCAGACCAGAATAGGACATCCCACTATCACATTATAATCCACACAGGATCAATTCAGACCAAGGAAAAGATCCTTAAAGCTGTCAAGGAGAAAAGATCAATCACCTATAAATGAAAACCATTAGAATCACCTTAGATTTCTCAGCAGAGACAATCAAAGCAAGAAGAACCTGGAATGATTTATGCCATGCCCTAAAGACAAACAACTATCAACCAAGAATACTGTACCCAGCTAAACTCTCCTTTATAACTGAAGGTCAAATAAAAACCTTCCATAGCAAACAAAAATT